TGAGCTGCTTTCTGCAGTCCTTCTAGGGCAGGGTGCCCAGATGTCCTCCTTTTCCAGGACGTGTCCTATGTTTCCACCTTCTATCCAGGAAGAATTCGAAAAGGTCCTCCATTTTGAGCATGACTACGAAGCACAATTTTACATTGATATGACTGTTTTTAGCTTTTATTTGGGAAAGTCCTCCACTTTTCTTGACTGTCCTACATGCCTTCTCCTCCTTTGCTCGTAAGCTAGCCCAGACTGTGACCCAGATGTCCTCCTTTTCCAGGATGTGTCCTATGTTTCCACCTTCTATCCAGGAAGAATTCCAAAAACATCTGGTCAACCTGTCCTAGGGTCCCAAGAGAAGGTCCCTCCAGCAATGGGCTGCTTGCACACATAAAATCTCTCCCATTGATTCCCAGCAGTTTTTGCAGATAGTTGGTCCAAGGAGATGCCCTTTCATGCACCCTGCAGCCACTTTGTCCTATTTAGGGTGCCACTTTGGTAGTTAAAGTGCATTTAAAGTGACCCAAGATGGGCATGACTATGAAAACTCTTCTAGCAAAGGTCTACCTCAAAAGATCTTTGCCAGTTCCTTCTGGAATATAGAATAAGGATATCTTCAAAGTGGAATTGCTCCATTTTGTCCACCCACACTGTCCTGAGTTGCAAAACACCCCAAATTGCAACCCAAGGAGAGTCCCCTGTTCTTGCATGTGTGCAGTGTGGAGCTTCTGGGAAAGATATACAGGATCTGCCCTTTTGCCAGAGAGGTTGGACCACTGAAATGCAATTCCAAACCCATGCCCACGGATCAGTACAATTCAGATTGCTAGTAAAGTTTGAACAAGTATATAAATCGTCCCTTATTTCATTATCAAAACAAGGCAAAAAAAAAAAAGTTTAAAAAGTTATCTTCCTGCTCTGAGCTGTTATGACTTTTAAAAAAATATTTTTGGATGATTTTTTTTCAGATTTCAGGAGGTATTTTAGTGCATGTGTGCAAAGAACTAGTTTACTCAAAGAATTTAGGACTATTTTTGCACTGTACACATCATTTTAGTGCGGAAACCATTGTGGAATATGTATAAATGATATACATGGTATGGAAAATGTTTAAGGCATGGAAAAAGGCACTGCTTTCTGAGCAAATATATTGCTTAGTGTAGAAAAGCAAGGATTTTGGGGAAATCACGGATCAATTGTTTCCCTCTGACTCTCCCTACATATTGCACCCCCCTCAACAGAGTTCCAAATACATCTGTCTTCCTTTGAGTCCTTCTCAAAATGGTGACCGGAAGTAACGTGTTACTTTTGGCCACCATTTTGAGAAGGACTTAAATGAAAATAGATATATTTGAGGGTGATGGTAGGTCACATTGATAGGCGCATTGGCCACACTTTGCCTCCTTGGTATAAATGCATTTGCGAGACTCCTGTTGGTGGCGGGACCTTTCCATCTGGCCCCGCGCTTGGCCCCAACACGCCC